AAGTGATCCTAACTTTTTCAAGGACCTAAGCAAAATGTCACTTGAAATACAAAATCTACATGTTTATTGAATTATCTTCATTCACTCTGGACCTAAACAATCTTCCGTCGGACTGTATGCTTATCTTTTTTACTTTAGGAGTATAAACATTTCATCCGTCTATTATAAAAATTAATAACGCAGTTTTGCTGTTGATTTTACTTTCGGTTATTTGTAACTGCTAACGATATATATATATATATATATATATATATATATATATATATCTGGGAATGGGTAACAATTCTTGCTTCTTATCACTTGAAGCTATTCTCTTTTAGCTTGCCTGAATCCTATTTAGTGCCATTGTTGTTCACATTGAGAGTCTCTGCCAGCAAGTAATTGATGTATGTAAACAAGCTGATCAAACATGGAGTAACTCAGGTCGTGTAGCTGTTGAAAAGATATACTTACTATAGTTTGAAATGATGGACGCTGGATATGAAGCTTACTGGAGGTATCGATACAGATTCAGGTTTGTGTAAATAGTAAATCATCGTAAACTTCATCGCCACGTTCCAATAAACAGTATAAAATTATGTAAGATATGCATTGTGGCTTAGATTACTTTGAGTGCTACAGAGATTTATGCTGTAATATGAATACCCCCATAATTTTTTTATTTGTGAAACTATTATGCGAATCAAGTTTAAAAACACTTGTAATAATTTTTAACTACGTATGTTTTATTTAAGGTAATCTTGTGCTTCAGAATGCTGAAGAACGCTGGGCTGCTGTTGGTTATCCTGGTCACCTTTACGGTACTGTTAACGGGGGTTTGGGTCTTCTTGTTCAAGTTTCTCCAGTTTTATTTGCGTTTTTGAAAGAAATCGAGTTTCGTTTGTCAAATCTGGTTGTACCTGTCGGTGGATTTTCACATGATACATGGAGAGCTTTTAAAGCTGATCGTGAAATTAAGATGTCGCATAATTTCGTAGATGGTGATCTCATTGAAACAGTTACAGATTTAAACATGGACGACAAGGCTAAATTAGTCAAAGGTTTACGAATACCGGTATGTAACATTCTTTTGGTTTGATCATTACAATTTATATGATTATCGACACTAATATTTCAGTTATATACTTACGTCTTTTACCCATCGTGGAGGAACATAGGCCGCCCACCAGCATTCTCCATCCAACTTTGTTCTTAACAATCCTTTCCAGTTGCTATTCATCCCTTTGGTGTTTGCTTCCGATTTCCGATGTAGTGTGTTCTTTGACCTTCCTCTTTTCCGTTCCCCTTCAAGATTCCAAGTTAGCGCTTACCTCATGATGCAGTTTGATTCCCTAAATGTGTGTCCTACCCACTTCCAACGTCTATTCCTAATTTCCTCTTCAGCTGGAAGCTGGTATGTTCTCTCCAACAGGAAACTGTTGCTGATAGTATCCGGCCAATGGATGTTGCGTATCTTGTGTAGACGATTGTTTATAAATACTTGTACCGTTTTGATTATGGTTGTAGTAGTTCTGGAAGTTTCTGCGCCGTACAGTAGAACTGTCGTGTCTTGTTTCGGATATTGGTTGACACTTGTCTTGAGTTTCATATACTCTTCAAGTGTAGTAATGCAGTCCTTTACCAATCCTCGTCTTTACTTCTCCATCGGATCCTCCTTGATCGTCGGTGATGCAGCCCAGTTACGTGGAAGTTTCCGTCTCTACCAGAGCTTCTTCATCAAGTGTGAATTAGTCGGTGCTCTCAGTGTTGTATTTGAGGATCTTGCTTTTTTCTGTATATGCTGAGGCCTACTGCTGCTATACTGTCCTTCTTCACTTGCTTTTGTTGGTGGGTATGTGTTATTTACGAAGTTCAAATCGTCTAGTTGCATGCAAGCTGTCCATTGTATTTCCGTGCTTCCCGTCAGATGTGGAGGTCTTCATAATCCAGAAGAAAGAGAAAGGGAGAGAGTAAATAGCTTTGTCTGACTTCGGTCCTCACTTGCGTCTGTCAGCTGTCTCCCATACACGACTTCGCACTATAGTCCGTCGTATTATTTCAGTAGATCTTTATATAATTAGGGAATTGCGTTGTTACGTTTCGCTGAAGTGTTTCCATGTTGTCGTCAACACTAAGACATTTTTTGAAACCTGGTTTCATTTATATTAGCGCTATTCTTATTTGTTACTTTTTGTGCGAAATTGAATTTTTTCACTTTTTGGAGTACTACTACCACCGATCTCGACTCTCAGTACAGACTGATGTAGGTCAGAACAAAGGTTGGAGGGTCAAACTAAGTAAGGTACCAGTCGAAGAGAGGTCGGATCAAAAACCTATGCATCAATTCAAGCCCGAACTCGGCGCGCAGAAACGATAGTTCCAACCTCTCATATTTCTTTGGTCCTAACTCTCTTCTGCGAAAGGAAAACTAGTTCAATCTTTAGCATCAAGGTCTAGATGAATGTGCTCAGAACACATCATTGATAAGGAACTATCCAGCCTCCCACATATACTCATCAATAATAAGTGTCTATCCAGAATCGTTGAGCGAAACATGAAGCATATACCACAATCTGCAAGACATCATACAGTTCCTAATAAATCATTAACTGTTTTGAGTCCTGCTGGTAGGAGCAGACTACCGGTTGGGTTCAGTCAGGAATATATGTGGGTAAGTGACCATGACTGGGAGATTTACACACCTTTGCACCTTACCTTCTGTCTGGTCTTTAGTATGTGAATCTGCCCGGCATTGGCCGACATATAAACCTCAATCCGTTAGAAGGCATTGTGGGCCAAATATACTTTTTGACTCAATTTGTACTCCGACATAGAAATAGAGAACTCAAGCGTGTATGTAAGGATTATATGAAAATCTCCCAGTACAAACAACAAGCCTATTCGTTAAGAGTCATTTTTTCCTAGCGTATTTGGAGGGGTCACTGTAATTGTTCTTGGGAATGAAATAAGAATCCTTTATAATGGGATGCACTTGTGCGTGGAAAGAATTCGGTTTACTGCATACTTACCTTTGAAGCTAACAAGCACAATCTGAAGTTTTACTGACTGCTGTTGTTTGCATTCTTTTAAGCGTACGCACTCAAAATTTCGTATTTTTCAGGTGAACATGAATGAATTCGGAACTGCTGGTTCAACGTGTACTTCTGATCCTGAAACACGAGAGTGTACTGTGGAAGATTTAGTCAAAGTTGTTGAAGAAATGTCACGTCTTCATTAGTAGCCAATGTGTAGCAGATAAATCATACTAAATGTTTATATCGATTTATTTATATTGATGCAGTTATTGCTATTCATTGTCTTTACTTTTGCCTTTGATGATGAAAGCCGCTAGATTTTTTTAAAGCCATATTTTGCCACCTAATTATTCCAAACATTTTAATTCTGTACATGTTTCCTCTTTAATAATGCACTTTTTCATTTAATGTAACGCCCATATAAATATATTAGAAGTTCGTCGAAAATTTGTCCCATCCTTCACTACATTGTTGGTGTTAGGGTACTGCTCTGCTGCTTATATTTCTTTAAAAATATATTGTTTACACCAATTCTTTTTTGTCCTGTGAAGTATTAGCTCTACTTAAAATTCATGATGATGACATGAACACCGAATGTCTATGAGTGTGTAGAGGATCAGCCCAACCGTATTAGTTAAAGTCAAATGAAAAGACGGGTTCCTAGGGGTCAGGGATATTTCATAGATTCCCCAGCACTGGCCGCATACTTGGAACATGTAGATAGAGAGTAACTTTGGTGGTGGTAGTACAAAGTTTATAGCGAATAGGATGAATACCACTGCTAACAATTACTGGTTGGCCCTATGAGGAACAAGAGTAATGCCTATGATTTTATAGCCTTCAGATAATGAAGTCTGAATAACAACAGTGCCAATCTAGCCATGCAGAATCTTGTGACTTCCTGGTCACTCTACATTGTTTACACACTTCCAACTTCGTCATTAGTGTTAAGGAGTGACGCGACAAAGGGTTACGGGAACGATGTAAAACACCACACAGTTATAGGCAGATAGTTTAGTCATATAACTCAGTTGTTTCCGAGCCACCCCTGTTGTTACCAGGCATCACGGCTTCGCTCTCAAGTTCGAACGGTGGGACTATTGTTTATGCCGCTTTCAAAATGGCCACCAGTGTTACGGCACTCAAGAAGCACTTCCAAACAATGTAGCTTGATAAGGTTATTGAGTTGTCAGAAATTCTAACAAGTTGACTAACCCGAACCATATCCTTGATCAATCAGCTTAGGTATTTGGCGAAAAATAACCGCCAAAAGAAAAGCTGTAGTAAACAGTAGCGGAAAGTGATAAGACTAATGAAATCATTTCCCTATACATACGTCTCAGTGGAACTACTGAGGGAAAAGCTGTCGAACAAAGTTTGGCGGCTGATTAAATATAATAGAACTAATACTTCTCCAGCTATGATTATCATGGAGACCACAACAACGTTCGAATACGCACAGGTAGGAAGGTATATTAGAAGTGACTTGAAACCGACAAGGAACGCTAACGCTAAGAATTGTCATAGTATCGCGCGACCTATGAACTAAATATTTAGATTGTGTTATACGCACTGTTTTTTTTACTGACTGCCGTGTATACATTTTCCAACTGTAGTGGATCTCCAGTTTTATCTCCATTACAGAACACTCTAATTGGGTTTAAAATAAAAATCTTCGGTTGTCTACCAGTACCTAAGACTGCTTAAGGCATTCCCAAACATTTTACTTATCTGAATATGTTACCTATCCAGCACTGCTGCCGGCTGAGTGAAACGATAGTCATTATGAAGAGGCTAGTTCAAAAAAAGCTGTATTGTACAATTTATAATGCGTTAACAGTACACCTGTCGTACATTTATGTTATTCAGCAAAATAATGTGAAGAAGTTAGTTACAATGAAAATGTTAACAAAGAAAATTATATTAATTCTGACATGTCATTACTAACGAGCATAAGAACATTTTATAATACAGTGGTCGGAGTGAATTTCGCTTAAATCCACTACTTGATATTGACATATTGGCTGGGAAATGAAAACGAGTGGTAACCATTACCAGTATCGAAAGTGAGAAAACCAATGTTAGGAATAGTATTCCAAGACAAAGTCAAAGTGACATTATCATTGCCAATTAATCCGTAGCCATCATCCCAAAAATAATACTTTGAGGTCATTTTTTTGTAAACCAGTTCAGCTTTAGATCCACGTTTGATGATTTTGTCCCACAAAACAACTTGATTTAGTTTGTTGTCTGCGGACTTGTATTCTGCAGAAAGATATAAAAAGAGTTGTTTTACATTCCAGTTGAACAGATGATCTAAGGAAGACTGAAAGGAATTATTCGAAATGAAGTCTTACTGATAAATCAATAGTTATTAAACCCAAATCATTGTGATGACCGCTGTGAAGAGTGTAATCGTCAGCTCGATCGACTATTGCACGACCAACGTTGATATCGACAGAAGCTGATGGTCTGATGCTTACAGTAGACAGGAAACAAAACAGCATTAACGCAGTATATGCGGTGAGAGTGAGAGTCAATAGTGCACTACATCTTGTTACTATTGAGTACATTCTGCACAAAAAGCTGATACAATCTACCCGCTACGACGCGTATTATGACATAAAGCATACGGCTGTAGAAAATGAAGTACTAAAACAAATCCAAGTCAATGAGAAAAATCATTATTTCAGTGAATAAGAAAATGAAGAAAAGTTTTCAAAAAACTTATATCAGGAGGATGTAAATGTTTAAATTGACATGACCTGGTAATCTAAGCATGCTGCCTATGTTTTCGTTATTAGTGGAATGAGTTTTCAGTAATAAGGATAGTAAGTTGATGAACCTGTGTTAATCCTGAGCTACTTCGTTCATCCGGAAGCAGACAAGCTTTTATTAGTCGTTTCCATTGCAGAAATGTTGAAGACTCTGTTGGTAAACAGTGATGATAATCGCAACTGCAACCATATGGATGATATAAAAAGTTGCAAGTAGACATGAACATTCTCAGTCCGCTTAAATATATCATCAGACCCAACCTCACAGAGACTCCGGATCAAATGAATGACATATATAATTTCGTAGGTCGTGTTGCGTCAGAGGTATTTGAAAGAATAAGACGATCCAACAATGCAATTGTGTTTAATATACCGGACACATATGCCCTTAAAAATATCAAATCTAGTCTGCTTAGAGCCAGCAATGTGACACACATACCGTGTGTATGCACAAGATTAAAAAGAAGTCATCCTGGTATGCACTCACCGATCTTGTTCAGATTCAACTCATCTGTGGACGCCAGTGAGTTTTTAAATTCCTCCAATTCATTGAGACAAAAACAGATTTTCAAGGATATTAAAATTCTTCCAGATAAAACACCATGCCAGCGAATAACAGAAATAGATAGATACAGACCACCAGCGTCAAACTCCCAAACGTATCATAATCCTAATGGTCATAAAATTAAGCCCGATTTTAAGAGGTCGACTAACTTTACAAGTATGCCGCCACCCAAAAACTCTCCTGAATCTCCAAAAGTTCAAAATCCAGAAGAAAGTGATCCCGATGAAGGTGGTGTCCATCCTCTTAAGAATGTTGACTTAGATTCAACCCAGAGTCTTTGTGCTGATGACGAATGGGATAAGACGATCCAAATCCCTGTTAGTGCAACACCCAGTTATAGTAACTGTGCGACGGATAACAGGAAAATTAATCATAACATTTCTATAACTGACCACACACTTAACGTCGATATATTCTAACCTCGCAAACCATCGCAAGTTTATTTAACAGCACACGATTCTCCTCAAATTATGAAGAAGCCGAAATTAACCACAAACCTTGGGAATAATTGTCTAGAACATGTTACCCGGTATAAATAGTAATCGGAATTGTAAATGGCCACTTGGTCGCACACATAGACCTGATAGTCTTCTTGGTTCGGCTTCCATTATGTACATTATGCCTTCATCAGATGTTATATCCAATAGCAATGAGAAGACTTTTTTGTAATTCCACCAACTTTTCTACCGGCAGCGGTAAACATATTTGACGTTATGACAAAGTGGTTGAATCTATTTCTCTTCGCAACACAACTCTTACCTTAGCCAATCCTACGAGTATTCATGGAGCTACCAATTGCGATTTATACTCTAACCTGCTTCACTATGATAACTCTGAGTTTCTTATTCTTTCGTTCAATGCCCGCTCTCTGTCCAATAACATTATTCATCTTAAAACTCTTATTCCTTATAAATCCAACCATTGTACTTATTACGGAAACGTGGTGCAAATCATCTATATCCGATCATTCCTTGAAAGATAACTACGTTTTCTTTAGAACCGATAGATGTTATGGATTAGGAGGCGGTACAATTATCTATGTCCGTTCAGACATTCAGGCGCGCGAATTTGAGGATAAATCTCTTGACAATATAAACGACTCCACTTGGGTTACTGTAAACTCTGGATCTCAAATATATCTGCTGGTGGGATGAATAAACAGATCACCTATGCGGATACTAAGTTTGAAAGATTACTAAAAAACATCTTTTCCATTGCTTCGTACCAACCACATACTTTTTAAATCATCGGAGGTGATGGAGCTTGATTCCGGTACCATGTCGATATAACAGGCTAGTTGAAACACTAGAAATTTTTGGATGTGTTCAACAGGTCCGGAAACCGACCAGGGGGAATAATATACGTAATTTAATGTTCACAATCAACATTCAAATGGTTCAAACGGTTGTGGACGGAATAGAAGAAGCTTTCGCTAAACAGGCTTCCGTGTCTAGTAGAAGGGGATCACCAAATCCTCCAGGCAGGAACCTAGGTATGTTAACAATAAAAGAGGAAAAGAAATTGGTAAATCATAGTGTGATGCTGTCCTTGGTCCTTAAGAATAGGTCAAGTTGCCTCTTGAAGGACTCCTGAGAAGTCGCTTGAACTAGCTCGGCCGGCAGCGAATTCCAGCTTTTGACAAGTCTTAGGGAGTAGAAGTTGTGTCTACATTCCGTCTTGCTATGTTGTGTTTCCAGTTTCTGGGTGTTACCCCTTAGGTTATTATTCGAACTAAGCTTAAGTAGGTGTTTAAGAGGATGTCCAGAAGTGTTAAGAATACTATAAGCCATTAATAAATCACCTCTAAGACGCCTATACTCTAATGGGTAAAGGTCTAGTGAATGGAGGCGTTCCTCGTAAGGTTTAAATTTGAGTCCTCGAACTGATTTCGTGGCTCGCCGTTGGATACACTCCAAAGTGACCTTGTCCTTTTGGAGTGAGGGGGGAGTACTATGTTTCCGTACTCTAAATGGGGACGGATGAAACTATTGAAGATTTTATGGAAAGTTCGTCCGTCAAACTGTCCGAAAATGCGCTTCAACGTTACCAGTGCAAGGTTTGCTCGGAAGGCATTTTTGTCACAGTTAGCGTAAGACTTCAAATCATGGGGCATCAGGACTCCTTAATCTTTTTCGACTTGGGATACTACTAGAGAGGAGTTTCCTAAGTTGTAACTGTAGTTTGCGACATGTCGCAGATGGACTACTTTACACTTTGAAGTGTTAAAGGTAAGTCCGTTATCGTCTGCTCAACTTTGAAGTCGCGTCAGATCCTCCTGAAGTGCCTGTATATCGTCTTGGTTGCGTATCTCTCTACAAAGTTTCACGTCGTCGGCAAAAAGTAATAAGTCTGACGTTACCTGTTGAGGAAGATCATTTATGTAGATCAAGAAGAGAAGAGGCTCTAGAACTGAGCCCTGGGGGACCCCACTAGCACATTCCATAGCCTGAGATAAAGTGAAATTAACCCTAACCTTAAAGTGTCGATCTTTTAGGTATGAAGTAAGCCAATTGATTAGAGGTGGTTTGATACCTAGTTGTTTGAGCTTATTGATAAGACACAAGTGGTTAACCTTATCAAAAGCTTTTGAGAAATCAAGGTAAATGATATCAACCTTTCCCTTGCAATCGAGGATGCTTGTCCATCTGTCCACCGCAGTCAGCAGGTTGGTTATGTGGCAAGCCCATTTGGCCACTGTATCATCTGTCTATTCATTGTAACTTAGACTCGTAATTCACTATGTTAATTTCGGTGTGTATGATCGAATGCATGTCTGTACATTAACTTTTAAACTATTTTCCTATTGGTTTCAACGTGCAGATAATCGATAGTCTATCCACACCTGATTAACCCTCAAAAATATATATGGATTTTTTAACAAACCCACTCTCTCTGTTCCCATCGTGTGCTTGCTCACAATACGCTTGTGGATTATCATTATTCATTAATAATAAACTATCTCCATAACTGGTGTTCAGGCTTCTTAATAATCTCGAGTAAATCCGTAATTCTACTAGGAGATTAAGCCTACCTTAAATACTCAGTTACGGAATATCATTATTTGGAGTCAGATATTAAGGACATTATCCTTAACATATTGGTGACCCGCCTTTAGAACGCGCACCATTTTCCTCCAAAGTCTGCTGCATTCTCCTCAAGAGTATCATAAAGAACTTCATATTGGAATTATTATTATAATTAATAACAATCCATTGACAGTCATAATAAATTCACTCATAATATTTTCCCTTTGGAATTATTACTGTATATTCTCATACATATACCCAAAGTGACAATTTTTCTTTTCGGTGAGTCTTATATATATATTTTTTTTTTTGTTGTTGTTATTTTTGATTTCTCTTCATATTGTATATTACAATCCTCAGCTTATTATTACTATTGCTTTTTCGTATCATGGCACTTGATAATTCGTTAAGCCTTTCATCTAAATCTATTTCCGTGGGTGCCATCTCTGTACCTTTACCCATTTTTAATCCACGAAAGGCTGAACTCTGGTTCGCTCGTTTAGAAAGCTTTTTTGTAGCAAACAAAATCACAAACCAGAGTACGAAATTTAGTTATGCAAATTCACTGCTGCCAGATGACGTCATTGAACAAGTGCCGGATGTCATTTTTAAGCCGGATCCTGACTCACCATTCGATTGTCTAAAAAAAGAGGTCATTCGTGTCACATCTCTCACCGACCAACAGACAATTGATCAACTTTTAGCCAACGTAGAGCTAGGTGACAATACACCGTCACAGTTAAAACGCCACATGACAAACTTATTAGGAAATCGTACAGTAGACAAACGTCTACTATATCAATTGTGGCTCAGACGTCTCCCTCAAAACATTCAACAGATACTAGCAATTGGAGACGAAGACGTTGATTTTGATAGACTAGCAGACATAGCCGACAGAATTTACGAACGGTCCAAGACTCACCTTGTATCTCAAATCCAATCAAGCTCAGCTGACGAGATCGCCGAGTTACGACGATCAGTTGATACCCTTACGAAACAGATAGCTCAAATCCAATTATTGAATGCCTCCCACAGCAAGCGTAGAGGAACATCCACAAGTCGTAGACGACGTAGTCCAAGCACTACTAGACACAACATTTGCTGGTACCATAGAACACATGGCAAACAAGCTAAAAAATGTACTCCGCCTTGTAACTTTGCAAGCACACAGAAAAAGGAACGTCAAGACCGTAGGTTAATGACGA